CACCGCCCCGGCACCGGGATGGGGCTGAGGGGGCACCGCCCCGGCACCGGGATGGGGCTGAGGGGACACCACCTCGGCAGCGCGATGGAGCTGAGGGGGACACCGCCCGGCCTGGCAGCACCGCCCCGGCACCGCGATGGGGCTGAGGGGGCACCGCCCGGCCTGGCAGCACCGCCCCGGCACCGGGATGGGGCTGAGGGGACGGGATGAGGCAGGAGGGGAGTGGCCGGTCCGGCGGCGCTCCGGACAAATTGGGAACGGTCCAGGAGCTCCAAGCACCCACCGGCGCCAGCCAAGCAGGTGTCCCTCCAAAGCCACCCCTAAATTCCACACTGGCTTAGGGGAGGAGATACCCTGGTAAAATAGTATTTTCTGATAAATGCTGTTTGTTTTTTCCAGAGATTTCTGAAAAAAAATCTCTGCACGAGTTCCATCAGTCCCTTTCTAACTTGAGGGTGAACCCTCCAGCCTTCCCTGACTAAGGAGAAAGGCAGCTGAAACAGAGGTAAAATACACTTGCTGCAGGATCAAGAAAGGTTCTTATTTCATTCTGTGGAGAAGAAAAAAAAACAACAAAACCAAACAACTCTACACACACACAAACAACAACAACAACAAAACCGGAAAACAAACAAACAAAACCAAACAAAAAACCAAAACAAAAACCAGCACAACCACAAAAACAACCAAACAAACCCACATAAAACCCACCAAACCCCCAAACAAACAAAAAACGCACCAGCCAAACACAAAACCCATTCCCAAAAGCCAACACACCTTCAAATAGCACAATGCAATTTAACCATAACAGATCGAATTTGGTAATATGCTGACTTGAAGCCTTATAAGTAGACAAGACTTTAGGACTTCAGGCACACTAAAAATCTGCACAGTTCCAGACTATTTCAGATTACCACTTAAGCAGCAAAATATAAAAAGAATGTATCTTTCCATGTTACAGAACATTCCCTTCAAAAGCTTCTAGCTCAGAGGTCACATTTTTCTTAGCAATGCTACAGTTGAGCTAAAACTTTTCATGTCTAACAGCAGCTGTTAGAGGAGGGGGTAGGAAGTATCTGAGCCCTACTTGATTCAGCTTCTTAGTGACAAAATATGAACAGCAAGTTTAAATCAGGGTCTTAAGAGAAACTAGATAACGAACCAAAATTCTTCGAGTTCATGCAAAGCAGCCATCTCTCCATCAGTTGTCTTCTGCTTGAAACCTCCTCCTTCTCTGAGCCATTTCATCCACTACTTTTTTCCTTCAATGTTCAGAGTAAAGTTTTCCAGGTTTTTTGTTTTGGTTTCTTTTTTTTTCCCTTTGGTAGTTTTTCCTAATAACATTATTTAACTAATCTGGAAGTGATGTATAAATGTAGACATAAATGGTATCCTATGATAAAAACAAACAAACAAAAAATGCCACCAAAAAAAAGGGGTTATTATCCCACTGTAAAGATAGAGATATGGGGATAGAGAGGAGAAATTAATCTGCATTGGGTAATTGCAGAGACAGATTTTGAGTCACAGAAGAGTACTGTAGCTAGAGGGGAGGAAACATTGTCATTCCTTTTTCCTTTAAGCAGTTTTCCACTTCTTAAATGGAAAAAGCAATTAAAAATATTTCCTAACTCAGGCTGTGGAGTTTTCTTAATGACAGCAATGGTGACAGAATAAATCAAAAGACTTCTAGAATGTTCTGGCTTGTGCAGCCTGATTCAATGCTTGAGAACCCTTTCAGTGTAAAATTTTTCCTAATATCCCATCTAAACCTCTCCTGGCACAACTTGAGGCTGTTTCCTCTCATCCTGTCACTTGTTTCTTGGGAGAAGAGACCAACACCCACCTGGCTACAACATCCTTTCGGTAGCTGTAAAGACGAATAAGGTCTGCCCTGAGCCTCCTTTATAATTTTGATCAGTTATAAGCTGCCTACTACAGCCTCTCCTCATACATCTTGTGCTCCAGACCCTTCACCACCTTCATTGCCCTTCTCTGGACACGCTCCAGCATCTACCAACACTCCAGTAAGGACGACTCATGTTCTTCTCCATCTGATTATGAACGTTTTCATGACAAAAGTAGGTAACTTCAATGAAACACGAGAAATCAATGTGCTAACTGGAGGCAACTGTCTGACCTTTTCAGGCATCTGCCATGGGCAGAAGTGACAACTCAGTCGTGTTTTGTTGGACAGTTTGGCTTGTCATCTCATAAAGCCGAAACAGAAGCAGCTGCAAAGCCTGGGGGTGGTGGAAAAAGAAGAGAAACAACTGTAACTTGAGCTGGGTTTTATAGGAACCAGCTTTGCCCCTCGGCCCCTTCGGGCACTGAGGCGGCTCAGCCGCCAGGTGGCGGCACCGGCCCCCGCAGGGCCTGAGGGGACGGGCCGGGGCCGCTCCCGCTCCAGCGGCGGCTCCAGGCCCTGCCCCGGGCTGTGTCCGAACGACAGGCAGAGCTGGCCAGCTCGTGATCGGAATGTGGCACAACACCAGTCCAAATCGGAGCAGGAGCAGTGTTTCACAGAATCATGGAATGCCCTGGGTTGGAAGGGACCCTAAAGATCATCTCGTTCCAACCCCCTGCCATGGGCACGGGCACCTTCCACCCGACCAGGTTGCTCAGAGCCCCATCCAGCCTGGCCTTGACCACTTCCAGGGATGGGGCATCCACAGCTTCTCTGGGCAACCTGTGCCACTGCATCACCACCCTCACAGTAGAGAATATTTTCCCTAATACCTCTAAACCTACTCTCTTTCAGTTTAAAGCCATTTCCTCTTTGTCCTGTCACTCCATGCTCATGTAAAAAGTCCCTCTCCATCTTTCCTCTAAGTTTCCCCCAGTTACTGGAAGGCCACAATTAGGTCACCCTGAAGCCTTCTCTTTTCCAGCCTGAACAACCCCAATTCTCCCAGCCTTTCCTCATAGCAGAGCTGCTCTATCCCTCTAAACAAGTTGTTGTCCCTCCTCTGGACTTGCTCCAACAATTCCTTATCCTTCCTGTGCTGGGGGTCTCAGAGCTGGAGGCAGCACAGCAGGTGGGATCTCACCAGAGTGGAGCAGAGGGGGAGAAGCCCATCCCTCACCTTCCGCCCACGCTGCTGGTGATGCAGCCCAGGACACAGTTGGCTTTCTGGGCTGTGAGCACACATTGCCAGCTCATATCCAGCCTCTCATCCACCAGCACCCCCAAATCCTCCTCAAAAAATAAATTGACCTATCATTTAAATCAATTTTAGTCACAACCGTGTGTGAGTATGCTTAATAAGTGAGTCAACAGAAAATGCTTACTTTTAGTAATATCATTTGAGAATGAGTATAACTTAAAAGAGGACCAAGTTACTGAACTGGCACACAGTGTCACAACAGTTTCATGAGAATATGAAGTCAAAACAATTGCTCTCCAATTCCCACATCAGGCAATGCCTACTTAGAGCATTCCTGCATCGTCTCATCACAACATATCTTTTGGTTGTCTTGAGGCAACTGTTTGTGGCAGGATACTCTAAAATAGTTCACTTTCCTTAACACCAAAGAAGGCAAGATTAACTACTGCAAAGACCTTGACTTCCAAAGTTAGGCTGCATCTGGAACTAAACTAGGCTGGATGTTCCTCCAGCAGTCCCCATACACTCCTTGACTTGGGACAATGGGATAAATATGTTATTAGAGGTAAGCAGAACCTCTACATCAGAGAGAACTCCTTCGATCTACTCCAAAGTTTAATGAGTCCAAAAAGGCCAGACAGCTTTATATACAGGCCTTAGAATGAGTTGGGACTGTTCCTTCAGAATTTAAAAAATGAAAAATCTTTGTGTTTCAATAGCTTCAATCTGTGTTTACACCTGGGAACTTGGGGTGTTTAATTACCCCATTAATAAGTTATTTCAAGATGAAAAGTGGACTTTGATTTCAAATCACACCTTTTATACAGACTGAAAATTTAAAACCTGTTGGAACAATTAGAGAACTTCCATAGTATCACCTCCCTCAGAGAGGAAATCCTCTTCAGCTAAAACATTATAGCTAATTTCCCTCAGGACAAAATTTCCCAAATTAACAACAAGGTGACACTGGAAAGCAGGAATCTATTGAATCAGCAGTGAGTCCTTGAAAGAAGCCTGATCACTTCTAACTTCTTATCTGTCCTAAAAAAAAGTCTCATTGCAGAACCAAATTCAAATCCAGTATAAAGGATTGTCAGCAATTTTTTATATTATTAATCCAAATAAATACTGCAGTTTAGAGTTAGTAATATATTTTGATTTCTTCATTTTTATTTGTGGCTTTCCATTCCCTTAAAGGTCCCATGAGGAATCAAGCTAGAAAATCAACTGTGCTATGAAATCATAGGCAGTTCTCTGGAATAGTGCATGATGTAACACAAAATGACAGACTGGGCTGTGAGCTAAAGACTGTAGATTTCTACAGCTGCTTAAAAAGCTTTTAGCTTTGGAGTCAGGACCAATTTTAGAAACGAGCAAAACAAATACTCAAAACCCCTGGTGCTGCCTGAGCAACCTTCCCCCTCAACAGCACCTTGCCCAGTTTCTTCAGTGCAGAGAGACCAAGATCCTCAACATCCCCAGGGAGCAGCCAAATGCTGCTGCTCGTGCACCCAGCCCTGCTCTGTGCCTCTGCAGCTGGGGGGAGAGGCAGTGAGGGCAGCAGGCCCTGAGAGCATGGACTGCATTAACAGATGGATACACACTGCTCTTCCCATCCCTCTGGCCTGCATCAGGATTCTGTCTCATGGCTGGACATGTGGATTCTAGTAAAGCAGAGGAGTGGGCTCTGCACAGCTCACTTATCACAATACCTCCACCATGCTTTGTAGGGAGTGTGATGCTTAACACAACTGCCCTGCTTCTGCTACAAGTCCACACTTTGCCATTTAACTAACAAGGACAAAATACTTCTATTATTATT